AGATTAAACCTTTTGCATCAGCTTAGGGGGGGCGGCTGCCCCACCTTGTCCTAGGTAGTTCCCTCCTGGTCACAGCCAACTTAACTGCCTTCGGGGTACTGGCTCATGTGGCCAAATATGATGGTGTCATCAGTACGTGGCAAGGGATTAGCCATTACATTTATGTACTGTGATGCAAAACCAGGAGATTTATAGTTGTATAGTATCAACAATAAAACCTACTACAAAGACTTGTTTTTCAAAACTTTTGTATATCACTTTATATGTAATTTCAATGTTTTGTTCTTTTTATTCATCATTTCTCAAACCTATTGCACAAGGGTTTGTAAATAATGCAATAAATGTAAATTTTAATTTGTTTAATATCAAATATAATTTTACATTAGCATTTGGGCCTTTGGGCTTTTGGTCCAGTGACGTTAGGCCACATATAAGTGCATTCCCCTCCCTCAAGATAACGGTTCGAATCCGACCCGTACGAATTTGTTCAATATATATATATATAATTTTACATTGTACCTATAAGCCTTTCGGATTAATTGACTTTTGGTCATCTTAAGGTGTACCCTTCCTTTCTTCTTGGGTGGGTTCTAATCCGCTCATGGCAATATTATTCAAAAAATATATATAATTTTACATTTAATTTCTCACCTATTACAATTAATTTACTCTTTTTAGCTTTCACTGTTAACTTATTATTAATTTAAACAATTTTTTTTCCTTTTTTTTTTGGTAAACTTTTTTTTTAAAACGAACATTTCCCTTTTTAATTTAAACATATGTTTAGGAAATAGAGTGCTTTAATTTAAAGTAAGTTGACCATTATTCCCAACGTTTTAATGTATATAATCCGATATTTGTTACAGACGAAGTGCGGAATGCATTCATACCCGGGAATAATAGAATACCAAAACAAATGGGATACTTGATTTTACAAACAATATTTTTATTGAATAATTGCAGTTCCCAACGCTCTGTTAAGTGCGTTGACTTCATGTTAATATTAATATATTACTTTTCTCATTTTTAGGTTAAATCTGTTTTTTTTAATTTATACTTCAAATACCTTTTTAATTACTTTATATAATCATATAAATTTTATTAAAATATTTTTTTTATTGATACGAGTTAAACTATGTTGTTTACTTAATTAATTTAAAGTAAACTTTTTAAGTACACTAATTTAAAGTAATCAAGAGTCTAATATGTCTTAGTTTTGACGTCTAAAATAACTATAAATGTAACGTACACTTGTATTTTAGGGATCCCAATGTAAATTCTTAAGTCCAATTTGTTTCTTTATTTAACATAGGTGAAAATTTTCATAACAAAAATCATTTTTATATTTAACACTTCAAATTTTGATCCACATCCCAATGTAAGGACTTGAAGGTAAACATTTTATTTTATTTATGTAAAATTATTTCTGTAATTTTTGGTTGAATTGTTATTGTAATGTTCAAATGTTCATATTTTGTTATGTTAATGAATACTATAATTTTGTTAGGGTAACTCTAAATTTATATTTTTATATTAATAGACGGAAAATAAGTCGTGGGAATCCCTTTTCTCCACGGCTAATGGGGATGGAAACAAAATCTTTCTCTTGTCAAAATTTTCCACGAAGACGGGGAGGAACTTCCCGATCTTGTGAGACACATTGCCATCTTTATCCGCTTGCAATATGTCATCCGTACATCTTCTCCCACCACCAACACGTCTTACTTCTATGAAAAGGAAGTAGTATTGTAATTTTTTCATCGATATTTAGTATAAAACTTCAACCATTCCTTCCACCTTTCCCCTCAATTATATCCATATTGCCGTGCCTCAATTACCTTTCTTTTGTTTCCTTCCACCTTCAATTATTTTTCGCGTTAACTTAATATCATGGGGGGCAACTCCAACCCGTGTTCTTTCCGCATTAATGCTCTCCGTTCACCGTCGCGGACAACATTTTCCTTCAGCATGCACTTTTCCTCTGTTTCCTCCCTCCTCTCCGGTCCACCCCTTTACAGTCATCCTTTACAGAAAATTTAGTGTTTTTTATATTGCACTGTGGCAGGATAAAATAAAGCAACATTGTTCAAAAGAAACTAAGCTTCACCCAATCAATTCCAATTTCATCTCATAACTATTTGTTCACATTTGTCTTGACCACTATGCGTAATAAATATGGATATAATATGATTGCTGGCAACATTACACATTCCAATACAAACTGCTTAGCCAGAAACCGTTTTTAGAAGAAGCGACAAATATAATAAGGAAAAACAATGTTAACCTTAACTAACTCACCACACTCCAAAATACACACGCTTCTATTTCGGACAGGGGACCCCTAACTCAACACATCTAACTTCTTGTTACCATGTTTCATCCTCATCATACCTGCTGATAACGGAAATCCAGCTTTTAGACACGCCTCCCACTTTCCAACTCCCGCACATTAGGTTTACAGTACGACTGTTCCAGAGGACGGTCACCCTGCCGGCTTGGCCCTGCTCTGGCATCCAAAACTCTGCGTCGTACGGCTGTCTCGCATCCATCCCCTTCAATATTCCATCTCCATTCATCCCTGTGTTAATGACGAACATTATGTCTGCCAAATTCCTTGTACATATGTCCTCCACTGCCTCTGGGTACTGCTACCGTCCGGAATTTCTCCCATTCCAAATTAAAACAGAGCAAGGTTTAAGGCTTCCCATAACCAGATCTTCCGTCATTGTTCCAGCGCCCTGTACTTCTACTATTAAATTCATATCCTCACCAGCAACAGTTGTTGACCAAGCACAAGTCAGTTGCATTGTTGCAACATCGCGATTCGTCTCCACTCTAGTTATGAAAACGTCGTTTTTAGGGACACAAAACATCACCTGATTATCCTTCCCAGCAGGTGTGTTTGAACTGCTTCCTCGGTAAGCAGGTCATCTCACAGCATCCCTCCTTCGTACGCAATTTGTACATAACGCTGTAACTTGAAGCAGCAGCTACCGAACAGTTTTTTCGCTTCCCTCATACTCACCCAGTCCGCGGTTGAGAGGCGAAATTTGGCCATGAGCTGCGGTATGAAGAAAGTAATCTCTTTCACGCCGCTCTCGTCCTTCACCAATTTGATCTCCGTTGGAAACACATCTTGTTGTGCTCCCACCTCTCCCAGTAAGGCGGTGTTGATCCCTGGCAGGTTGTTATCATCCTCTTCTAATAATCCCACTCGCATTAACCATTTTTCATGCAGCCAAAACTCCGCACCCACCTCCTGAAAATGAAGTGTCCTAACAAAGCGCCGCGCATCAGTGAACCATATTGCTCTGAATGTGCGGTGGATGGCTTCCATCTCTGCCACTTGCGCTCGTAATATTATTTTATCCGTGGATGACATGGACGGCCGGATCTCCGCCACTGTTTTGGCCTCCGACCCTGCTCCGCCGTTTCCCCCATCGATTACTTGTATTCAGACCGCCACCGGTTCTTTTCTTTCTTCCCCAACCCAGCTCCCGGATTTACCCAGGAAGAACAATATTGACTAGCCTTCACCGTTTCCACCCTCATAATAAATGCATGTGAGCTTTTCTTGGCTGTGGCCGGAAGTACCAGTGCCTATCTTGAACAACTTAAAAAATACCCTTCCCCTGCCATGGGACGATTAAGAGCCTCGAAAAATACAAAAAAATTATTTAATTTTTCACTTGTTACCTTAAATTAGGATAAATATGGATTGACAATAAAATTAATACATATTTTTACACTTTTCTATATATATTTATTGCAAAAAATTGAGTTTAACATGTGGGTACATGTTTAAAAAAATCTATAATTAATATAAATAATACAATAAAGGCTAAGAAATAAAAATAAATCCTATATCTATCATAATTCATAAAATAATTTTTTTAATCTATATTTTAATATGTTATGGTTAATGATACAATATATGCATTTTATAATAATTAAGTAATTAAAAAATTGATTATAATTAACATATATTTTAACAATAGTGACATATCGATAATTTTAATTAACCAATTTATTAAATTAAAATCAACATTTTAACTTTAACAGAATAACAAATATAAAGAAATCAATTATAAAATTATCTTATACTTATGCATGATCTGAATTATGTCCTATGAAGTTAATAAAAATTCGGGGATAACATTATATTAACTCTGTCTCTGCACAAGGAGATTAACTCTGCCTTTCCTTCTTACCCTAACCATGTGCCTCATAATGCGTTATCTACATTATGTTTGTGTTATTCATCCATCAAGTATATTACCAATTATCTCCGCTAAATTTGTTTTAAAAATTGGGTTTAGGAATTTCTTAACATATCAATTTATATGCTTTACAATTTTTTCAATGTTATGGGTTCATAAATCCATCAGTAATGACTACATTTGTATGTGTCAATGAAGACTTACATTTGAATAATACTCTAATTAATAGTGATTTCTGTATTTGATTTGAATTGTATATATTAAAAAAATGGTCTACAATTACATTAGTAGTATAATTTCAACCACCCTCATTGTTTTTTTAGTTTTTATTAATTATAACTTTTATTAAAAAATAGCATAGCATGGGCACTCAGGCATACAGTACAACAAAAGTTCAACAAGGATTTAAGAATCGACTATAGACTGGATTGAGAATTCACACCAATCCACATTACTCAGCTTAGCAAATGTAGAAAGTTTTGGATTGAATCAACTCAATCAATCTGTTTTCATTCGCAGGCTTTTTTTTCAAAAATAATACCATTTATGCTTACCCATTACTAAGAAAAAAAAAA